AAGAATGTTCCTAGTAGCACTGTTCATAATAGTCCTCAACTGGAAATCTAACCATCCACCAATAAGGAAATGGATAAACACACTATGGCATATTAATTCATGAAATACTATACAACATTGAGAATAAACAAAATATGACTACATAAAGTAACATAAACAAATCTTACAAATCAATATTAAGCAAAAGAAGTCACACATTAAAAAAGTACATACACACATATATAAAGCCCCCCAAACAAGCAAAACTTAAACATGGTGTTAGAAGTCAGTTCGTGGTCACCCTTCGGAAAGGAAGGGACTTACAGGACCTAAGGGGGCTTTGTGTGCTGATAATGTCCTATTTCTATTTATTTTTTTAAAGATCCATCCATCTCTCTTAGAGAGAGAAGGGGAGAGCATGTGCACATGCGTGTGTGCTGGGGGAGGGGCAGGAGAGAAGCAGACTCCCTGCTAACCAAGGAGCACCAAGCCCAACATGGGGGCTCAGTCTGACAACCCCAAGATCACAACCTGAGCCAAAATCAAGAGTCGGATGCCCAACCAACTGAGCCACCTGGGTGCCCCATGTCCTATTTCTATACCTAGGTTCTGGTTTCCTGAGTGCGTTCACATGGTGGAGACTTTTTTGTTCAATAAAAACACTTAAAAGAAAATAAAAGTATTTCTAGACCATTCAGGAGCTCAGGGAAGAGGGAGATGAGGATTTTAAAAATTAAGCAATGAAATGATAAAGTCAGCTACCACAACATACCTTCTCTGACCCGGCTCTCTCTACCCCAGCTAAGGCAATTACTTTTGGTTGTCCTCTTATCCACAAGCATCCTTGCAAGTAGGGGAAACTAGTCTTCGTTTTCCCATTGGATGCGCAGGAGGATGGCAGCCCTGAGCAGGCCAATGACTAGACTAAAGCGTCACAGTCAGGGGTAGATGTGGTACCAAAAACTGGTCCCCTAATTTCTGCTCCTGAGCTTTGTGAACCAGGACCTGCTACTCCTGTGAGCCAGGCCACCTGACCACTCTGAGGTTAGGCTCTAAGCCATGAATGCATTCCCTAGGGTCCAGTGAATTTTTCTCTGTGTCCTTAATTTATAGTGATGGCAAAGACGGGATGGCCTCCTGATTTATTTCAGTTGAACAGACTTAAAGCAGATATCCTGTGAGTTATCACTGCGTACACTTCCCTGGAAGCAGATGTCAAGTGGTGCAGCTACAGAGCATAAGGAGACAATTTGAAATAACCACTTTTCTCCCTTCTCAAAACCCAATTACTGACTATTAAATGAGGCCTGATGGCACTTGAGAGCAGAATAAACCTAGGGAAGAGTAAAACACATAACATCTGGGATCCCGTCTACAACGACTATTTCTAAACAATAGAGTCACACTTCTCATCCTTTCATCTTTTAAACAAGATTCAAATTGTGATTTAGAATGTTTTGAATGTAGTATTTTTGCTTCAAGCTGATTCATTTTTAAAAACACCTGAATATAAACAAAGAATCTGTAAGCAAAGTTTTGGGGAACAGATGGAGACAGAACTGGGCTGTCTAGCAGGCAATTTATGGCTGAATCCTGCCTTGTGGGGGCCACTAGGGGGACTTATGGAACTCTCCACCCTCTCCCATGCCCCCATTTTTCTTCGTTTTCCTCAGGATAGCTGCCTTATGAGCAACACACAGACCTCTAAGAGTAGAGGGACTACTTTGGCCCCCAGACCCAGCTACACAGGTATTTAAGTTGGATAACTCTAACTTTACAATTCTTTCCAATTTCCTCCCTAAAATCTGAATAAATCTTCCCTCTCCAACTGAAGTTAGTTTTCTCTCAAATCATAATCTATTTCTTTGTGTATATTTTCCTCTCTGAATTGTATTCTTTTTTTATTTCAACCAAAGATGACACCCTGGGCCCTTCCCCTCACCCCCTCATCTGATCTTTTTGGTTCCTATTTTCTATTTCTCTTTTATAAGAACTCTTCTCTCTTTTGGACTAATGTTGTGGCTCTGGTTCTTTACCTCTTTTGCCCAACTCTGAACATCTGGCTTCTTTGCTTCCTGGTGCCGGGCTGTTTAGAATGCTTACCTATATGCAGAAGTGCTTGGAATAAAGAAACATTCATGGTAAAACCAAGAGATGGCAAGTTTTGTGTTATTTTAACTTTTGAAATTCCTCCAGACAGTCTTGAAGACTGTCTAGAGGACTAGAAACAGCTCTTTTTCCAGAAAGATTGCATTCTAACCCAGGGCCACTTACACAAAATGGGGGTTATTGCACTTGACAGTAAAACAGCCAATTGAAAGTAATTGTCTCAATCGGGGTTATACATTTCCTTATACTGTTGAATTTTCAGAGCTCCAAAGCAACAGAATCCCGTATGCGGTTTCCTAGACCACAGGTTTGCCTTTCAAAGCCTCAACCTGACAGATACTGAAACCAAATACTTCAACCTACAATTTACTTTTTTTGAGGTAAGGTTTGATCTCCTTTTCCTCTGCCTGACAGGATGTTTGAGTGACCAAATCAAAAGGCTATAGTGGGCCCCTCCCCCCATTCCTGGTAATTACCTTTGCATGGGGCCCTCCTGCTGAGGACTGTGCCCAAAGTGAAGCCATCGGTGTTAGTGTCCCGATCCTTAATGAGATCCCCATGGTTTAAGCAGAAGAGACGCAGACATGCTCCTTACCTTCAAGTGTGAGTCAGAGTCTTTTCCCTTATTTTCAGAGCAGTTTGGCCAAAGGAATTATTTCATTCTCAGGGCTCAGCGTGGTTGGGAGATTTGTAACTTCATGCTTCCAGGGTATGGTTCCATTATTCCCTGGACTTGCTCTTCATACTGTCTGTGTTTTCGGCTCATTGCAACATGGCTGCTCCCTCCATGAAGGTTCTCCTTTCCTACATGTATCTCAATAGAGCTCCGAGTTCTGACACAGTGAAGGGTAGAGACCCGAACCCTTCTCTTCTCTGGTACCATCTCACTTACCTGTCTACAAGGCATGGTGGTGGCCAAGGCTGCTTTTACAATAATTTAGGTGCTTAGATATTTAGAAAAATTCTGCACCCAAATAAGAAACTGTGATTCTGAAACTCCAATCAGTGAAATGTGCCAGGCAAAAATCATCTAGGCACCAAGGGCTTGGGAAAATTTTTACTATAGAAGAAACAAACAAACAAAAAATAGAAGAAGATGAAAAGGAGGAAGGAAGGAGGAGGAGGAAGAGGAGGAAAAGAAACTGAGTCCACAGATATACTAAGCATAGATATCGTACTAACCAAAACACCGGCTGAGAAAGAGAAAGAGATTTCTTCTCCCCACACTGGGGCTCACCTCTCACTATACAGGGCCCTGTCCCAGGAGTCGTCAGTAGCAGCTCTCTGTGGTCAATAACAGATAATTCCAGACCAAAAGAAGGGTTCTGAACTCAAGATGTTGTTTTTAGATCAATGATTCTCCAAGTGAATCCAGGGATCTCTGGTGGGTCTGCAAAGATTCTTCCAATCGTTTTGTGGGCTGGGTCAAAATGCAAGGCGTAGAAGTATGTTGGGTGTTTTTTTCTTTTTTCCCTTTGAAATATAATTTCCACTGCAGATTTCAATCAAAACTTAAAAGCACCAAAACAAGCATTTTTAAAAGGAGCTACAAATAATTGACAGGAATTCAGCAAAAACACCTCAAAAATGTTTTCTTTTGTTTGTTTGCTGGTTTATTTATTTAATCTACTAAACAGGTAAGACTCTTTTGTCCTGCTCAAGTAGTCTAAGGACTAAAACTCTTGTAAGACTCACCGGTCCAGATAAAAAGGTGAACCTTACAAAGCACATATTTTTGAGGGGAGGAAAGCCAGGTCCTTTCTTCCCTGTTTCCCATTTCCTAGTGTCATTTACTTCCTGGTCCTCTCTCAGCACTGCTTTTTAGTTCAATGCCCAGATCCCTGAAGTCAGAAGCAGCCACTGCCAGAAAGAACCTTTTTCTGTGGCCACAGTTGTCTTTTCTCAGGTTTCTATTCCAGGGAGCAGGAGCTCAGGTGTGGGGTGAAAGGGATGTCAATTGAGGCTGTAGCTTAAGATGATCTGTATTTCCTCATCCTAGCCCCACAGCAAAAGTTAACCCCAACAGAGCCTGGACTGCTGGAGAGGACTTTTTTTTTTTTTTTTAGATTTTATTTATTTGACAGAGAGAGACACAGAGAGAGAGGGAACACAAGCAGGGGGAGTGGGAGAGGGAGAAGCAGGCCTCCTGCGGAGCAGGGAGCCCGATGTGGGGCTGGATCCCAGGACCCTGGGATGGTGACCTGAGCCGAAGGCAGACGCTTAACGACTGAGCCACCCAGGCGCCCCTGGAGAGGACTTTTTGAGTTACCTCATGACCCAGTTATTAGCTATAAAGCATGACAAAGCTACCATGCCATGAGATAAAATTTAGTACTTATGGCTACGTCTGCCTTTCCCTCTCTAACAGAGCAAGGTACACATTCAGCTATTTGTTGGACCAATTTGCACACTCATAATTTCTTAGAAGGATTTCAAAACAGGCTGACTACCCCATAGGTAAATGGTATGGAAGCTGTAAATTGGAATGGACTTGGAGACCTCTAATTGGATTTTGCTGAAGTATGTGCAATATTATTTACCTATCTGTATAATTCCTTCATGTGTACAAAGTGCTCTCTGATAATTCAGATGCCACCCTGAATTTCCTAGATTCTGTTAGCCCTCTTAATCCTTTGGTGCAGACCCACCCAAGAATAAAGGGAATGATGTTCTTCCTACCGTGCTTGGTAAGGTGAAAACAACTTATTCACTCTTTCAGTGTGATTGGGGAAAAAAAAAGAAAGGAAGGAAGGAAGGAAGGAAGGAAGGAAGGAAGGAAGGAAGGAAG